CAGGAGAGGTGTGGACCTGACTGGGTTCCCCAGGCTGGCGCTTGTTGGTGAGAATCTAGGTGCCCCAGCTAGGTGCCCTTTCTCACCAATTTTTTTGGGATCGTTCCCCTACTAAAATAGACTACAGAGAAAGGGCACCCTTATTCTAACCTCTCCACTGGAGGACCCAGGTATACTAGGGTCAAAAGGAAAAACTGAGGTTGTTTACCTTCAACCACTGTGGGGGTACTTATGGCGTCTCCATGTTTTCCAACATCCTCCTCTTTTGACTTATCCTCAGGAGGTTGGTGGTGCCCCACTCATGTAGAAGGATCCCCTTTCTGTGAAGGATAAATTTGGGCCGCTTAAAGAAGTTGCTCAAGTACCAGCAATTTTGGAGAATCCGAGTCCGAATCCTTGTGAATCAGGTGGTTGGCATCCTTGAAGGAGCCCTGCTTGTGAGTCTAGGTCCCCCAGTGGTGCCCTTTTACTTGTTTTTTGGGGAGGGTTCCCCTGCTAAAATAGACTACAGAAAAAATGGTGCCCTTATTCTAACCTCTCTACTGGAGGACCTAGCTAGGTGCCCTTTCTCACCCCTTTTTTTGGTTGGGAGGGTTCCCCTACTACGGAAAACAGGGTACCCTTATTCTAACCTCTCTACTGGAGGACCCAGCCCCCAATTTTGGGCCGTCCTAGTTGGTGTCACGTGCTAGTGGTGCGCACAGGAGGCAATGTGGGCCTTCGACCTTTGGCCTTTGACCTTTCATTGAAACAGTGTCTCTTTTGAGGGTGCCCCTTTTTCAGGGTACCCTGTTGGTTGGCTATTTGAAGGAAACCGGACAGCCACATGTTTGTTTCTTTGGTCTTATTTTTGTTTTATGATTTATTGTGTGTTTTTGTTTGTTCTTTTGGGGGGTTTAGTTTGCTTTCGCAACCTGAGGAGGCTGAGGCGTTGCTTCTTCAAGCGTCGGAGCGGCGCAGCACTCGCAGCACGCCCCTTGCGCTTCAAATCGGTGGGGCCGGCGGATGTGGCCCTTGTAATACTGTGGGTGGGCGAAATCCATTTCGCACCACTTGGAATCCATGAGAAACCATTGTTCATTGGTATTTACAGGGGAGTCATCCTTCCAGGGTTTCTTAGGTGGTGCGGGATTTCGTCCATCCACAGTAGAGCTGTGGCAGAGTTGGTGCGGATAGCAAAGCTGTGGGCTGAAGAACCTTTTGGTTGAAATCAAGGGTTTTCCGGATTGAAGCCACAGAAAGTTAAACGCTTTGTGCAGTGGGGTCAACAGCAACCAAACCAATTTTTGGTTAAACATGGGTGCATGTATTTTGAGCATACCATGTTGGAGTCATTTGAAGGAAGTACCAAGGAACCACCATCAATGATGCTAGGGGTTCTAGGGAGGCCCCTAAATTGCAAGACACGCTATGGTCATGATGTTTGACATCCACTGCTTCGAAACATATGGACGTGTGTTCAAGCAACAGGCCCGCAACATGGAGTGGTGTTCTTTCGCGTTTCCCTAATTCTTCCTACCGTGACTTGTTCTCCCACCCAGGAACCTAGGATTAGGCTGAACCGTTGGTGGATTCTGTTGGGGGTGGTTCGGTTTGGTGGGACTCCAGATCACTTTTGTCCCAGAAAACGTCTTGGATGTTTTTTTGTGGTTTCCCCGTGTTGTTTTACCAGTTGTTCCTTTTTTTAGTACTTTTTTAAACCTCTTTTCCCCTAGGCCACAGGGGTGGATCCGCATCCAAACCAGTTTCCTAGAGGTGTGGGTGACGCCCATTAGGATGGTTCGATGTCTATCTTTTGGACCTTGCAGACTTCAGCCCAGTCACTCACTTCCCCAGAAGCCCGGGCTGTACGCCTACCTTGGGCGTATTCAGAAGTTGCACCGGGGACCGACCAACTGGTTCAACAATTTGTCCATCAATATGGAGTTTCCAAATTTCATGATATTTCCCCAGCAACAGCTGTGGATGGAGAAAAGTCCACTTCGCAGCAGATGGTCGCTGGTTCATCCCATATTTGCCCCACGATCGCTGTTTCCCCAGGGTTTTGGGTGGTTTAGAAAGATTCGGATGCCTAACTGGTTCAACAGTTTGTTTATCAAATGATGTATTTCCCCAGCCACAGCTGTCGACCCAGTTCCTGGATTCTTTCTGACTTTGTGATGCAGACGCTCCCTCTCGCGGTCTTTTGCGTCGGCTTCCAGGTGCTTCAACGCCACCAGCAGCCGCTCGCACAGCCTGGCCCTGGGCCAAGCGCCGGGTGTTGGCTGGCAGGGGGCCGGAGCCTTTCGGAGCCGGGACGTGGTATCCCATCACTTTGGTGCATTTTGCCAGGGGCTGTTAGGACTTTAACTTCTTGCCAACTCATGGGTTTTCTACTAAACCACTAAAGGTTAAACTTTGAGCAGGCGAGCAGAAAGCAGCCAAGATCAGCCGGCCCTCAACCAAACCCAGAGCCCCCAAACCCGAAACCTATCCTCAACGTTAACCCTTAGAGGGGGCCTTTCGGAGCCACAGATCGGAGTTCTCTGTCCGGACATCGTTTTCTCAACCTCCGATTTGAGGATTTGGAGGTGTTCCGGCGGGTGGTTTCACATCTCCATGCAAGGTTCAACCCCCGAAACCATCAAACCACTAGCTCTAAAAGCTGATTTTTTAGGGAAGCCTGGAAACAGAAGCTTCCAATATTGTTTTGCGTGTGCAGTGGAAAGTTTTGAGGGCTTTGCCCAGATTTCTGAGGCCCCTTGAAAGTGAATCAAGTAGTCATGCAGATGTTGGGAATCGTACTGAGGGGTATCGCAGAAAGAGGGTCATGTCCCACAATCCTAGTTAGGGATGAAGGGAATAAGGCTAGGACGTCACGAGGTGGCGACGTCACCCATGAAGCAGTTTCTGTCATAGTATCCCTTATTTTCAGGGAACTAGCATATATACATAAATGTGCCCAGATTATTGAGGTATATTGAGGTGACGCCTGAGCAGTTGTTGATTTGTCGGGCGCCTTTTGGACGATGCTGGGTAGCGCTACTTGTACTTCACACTTGAAAAGATAACCCTTTAAGTCGATTTCCTCCGACTCAGGTCCGAGTATCCGAGCATGGCCTTAGGGTGAAAAGAGGTCTACATGTTGACCCCGGACAAAACCGTCCTTTTAATAGGGGATGGTGTTTCCTCAAGTGATGATTCCACACTAAACGCAGGGACACCCATTAACAAGCTGAAGTCTCTCTTTTTTGGGGGGGTGGTTCCTTTTTGGTTTCCCTTCAGAACCAACCAAAAACAATCCAACTTGCTTAGAATGAGCGTTCATAAGGATCCCTTCCTTATGAAGGGCTTTTGCTCTTTTGAGGTCGCCACCCCGATGTTCAGTGGTTATAAAGGCTCCTTATAACTTATCAAGGCTTCCTCTTATGTTTGCTGGGCTCAATAGGGAATGATGTTGGGAATGAACCTAGGCATTCGCTTAAAGGAATCCATCGGGGATGGTTTATGTGGGGCATTCCCTCATTTCCTGCTGAGAACCAGCAAGAGAATCCTTTTCGACCCGCCCCGGTGCTTGCCAAGCGGCAACCGATTCCTTTGGAAGCCTCCGGAGACCCAGGTCTTTGTACACGCAAGTCGGCCGGGTGATAGCCTGGAACTCAGGCGGGTGGCTCCAAGCGATGGAGTGTTTGTTCTCTGCCAATGTTGACTGATTACCATTCAGCAGGGTGGAAAATGCACAAATAGAGATATTTACCACAAAAAAAAACGTGGTTATATGTGTAGATGTGTGCCAGGCGTCAATAAATGGCCGAAAGGGCCCAAAGGTTCCCAACTTGAGGGGAAATCCCAAAAAATCCCCGACATGGGACCCGTTGCTGCCAGAGTTGGGTGGCATGTCAGTGAGCATTTGGCTGCTTCCTGCTTTCATCTGAGGAGAGTTCAGACGGAAATTGGGCTTTGTAGGAGAGTTCAGACGGAAAACGACGAGCATGTTTTTGGAGGCATTTGGAAGGTGTTGAAACAGATTGCGTTTTCGGCCGCGCGGTTCCTTGGGTTCCTTGGGTTTAAGCCACTAAAACATAGACTTTAAGACGGGATCTGCGAACGTGCAAGGCGATGCTTATAGGTCAGAACGGCGCCTTTATGCCCACGGCTTCAGGCGGAATGTTCACATTCAAAGCATGACTAGTAAGAGCTGAGTCAAATGGAACAACCTGGGCGTGCAGCACGAGCAAGGTGGCGCAAGCCTTACACTGTTGGCAAAAGCAACAAAAAACAATCACATGTCTCGCGTAAGCAAGAACTCCACGCGCGCAAGGTGGCGTGAGCTGGCGGCGGAAAAAATATATTATGCGGCAGAGCCAGGCATGATATGTTTAGGACATGGCTCACATCAGATGCCTTTGCATCAGGGTGCTATTTGTTCATTGCGGACGCAAATGGTGTCGACCAGTTTAGCTCAAACACCGCTGCACCGTTACAATCTGTTCACTGTTACACTGCTTACCCCGTCTACACAGTTACTACCTGCGCCCAAAAAGAACTGGCATTATCACCCTTGTGGTTCAGATACATTCAACTGCCAGGAAAGACGCAACCAGAATGATCCGTCCCAGCCTTGGGACCATTCCAGGTTCCTCATGTCCCCCCACCGGGTTCCTAAAGCCGGATTTCTCCACTTCCCGTTTTGGAACCTCCAAAAGCGGCTTTCGTTTTGACGGCAAGAAACAAACACCAGTGAATTGCAACCTTTGAGGGGGAACTCCAGTGACCCAAATGAAAAGCCATTGCCATTATTTGGGGTGGGTTGGGGGGTGTCGGGGGAATGTTGGGGCCACCGGGAACTTCCATTTGCTTAAGAATATTGTTTTTGTTTTTGTTCCCCTTGTTGGTGTCAAGAGCAATTTACCACTACTGGCACTTTTTTTTTCCCGGGGGTCTTGACCGTCTTGACCAAATGGAAGGCAAAGTTTCCATGGCACCGGGAAAATCCCACGAGACGTCTGGGCCCGAGCGTCGGCCTGAGGCGAGCCCGCCTTGCGCCTGGCCTTTGTCGACCTCGCCGGCTCCGAGCGCCTGCCTGCCGTTGAGGACCTGGATTTTTGGCGGCTCTTGGCGCTTCCGGCGGCGGAATGCGAAGCGTTTGGAAGATGTTGGGGTGGAGTCAAGTGGTTTGTATGGGGTGGTGGCTGTTTTCTGGTTGGGCGGAAGGTGTTTTTTTTTGGTGTTCTGCTTGGTTCTGCTTTGGCTTCAGCTGTTGGTCGCTTAGGTTTGCTGTGAGTCCTAATTCCTTTATGAAGCTTCGCCACAGAATGTGGTTCCCCATCCCGGCCGATGTTCAACTGGTCAGGATCCCAAGTGATAGGTTAAAGGGCAGCAACCATTTTCTGACTTTGATCCCCCCCAGAAGATTTATCTGAATGACCCCAGACAAACGCCCGTTAAAGCACTCCCCATGGCCATGCTTCACCGCGCCACTCCGACTTGCGAGGCAGGAGCTGTGGCGGAGGAAAGCCGGCACATCAACTTGTCGCTGCTCGACTATATGACTGGATGTTTGCGATAGTTTTAGAGGTAAACAAAACAAACAACTACAATTTTGCGGGTGCCAAATTCGACGCAGACCCATTATGGTTGTGTCCTGAGTGGGGGGGACCTCCTTTTGCCTTTTTTGTTGGATTCTCGAAAGGCCCCCTCTTTTGCTGGGCAAGGTAAGCGGCAAGCCGACCATTCAAGGAGGAAAGCCCCAAAACTCACCCAAGTGAGGATCATTTATGTCAAAAGTAATGTACAAGCAACACGACATGACTCCCGTTGTGGCCAACTTGGATTTTGTTCAGTGTCTCGATGGACTCAGTATGACGCCCAACGATGGACGATGACTTAAACCGTTTGTGTGGGCCATGACCAAGTTGTGCCATGCTCAAAGGCAGTGGCTGTACAGTTGGGTGAAGGAAGATGGCAGAAAGCCCTTATATACCCACAGGAAGGGAATTGTGGAATCTACTTCTGCAATTACATAAGCGCCCACGAACCAAACGATTTGGCAATATAGGGTGGTTCGTTTCTTTATGTGTCTTTCACAGATAGGTAATTCCCCGAACTGGATGCTCGCACCTTCAAAGTATTTTAGCAGCACCTGGCCATAGGAGAGCCAAGGAGCCAGGCATGATTCACATTTGTTTCAACTGTGGAGCTAAGGAGCCCCCCTTCTTGTTTCCTTCTTTTAGGAAGGCTTCCCCCTCAAGCTCATTGTTTGAGCATCTGAGAAAATCACTGGGGGAGGGTACACGTTCGATTGAAACAATTCGGGGGCCCGAGCAGGTCACCGCCTCAGGCTTGCTCATCTTGCCAAGCCACCGGATGTGGCCCTCTTCCTGATCCGGTCTGCGAACCTACTCCGAAATCCGGTTCCTTAGGCACCACTGACCTCAGACAAATTCTGGAAGAGTTCGATTCCCCAACGTACATACCAGCCACGTTGTGGTTTCAAGCCTGGCTTCGTTTCGTGGTGTGAGCGGATTTTGTCCATCCGCAGTATTGCTGGATCGAAGTACGAAACAGACTCAACAAATACGAAACTGGATTGTCTGCGAACAGATGCGGGCCAATACCTTTCCTCAGATGGTCCATACTTTCTTCTTGGGGCCCTTTCGGATTTTGCCCCCTGAGTCACTCATGGCCCTTTTCGCGGTAAATCTCGGCTTCGGCTCGGCGCAGCGTGTGGAGGCTTTCGGCGCTGGGCTCCGTAATTCATGCCCTGAGGCGGGTGGCGAGACGAACCGGGGGATTTCGGGAGCAGAGGCTCCAATCTGAAACGACCAAGGACCTTTCGGTTTTCCCGGTTTTGAGTACAGATCCCCCAGCAGGTGATCAGTTGTGCTCTGTTTTTGTTTGTCAAGTTGTGTTTGTGGCCATTTTTGTCTGGTTGATTTGTAGAGTAGAGGTCCCAAAAGGTGCTCAGCATGCTTCTTGCCTTCTTTTGTTGGTTGAGTTTTAGTAAGAGGTCCCAAAAGGCGATCACCTGAAATTCCCACTGGCTGTACACATCGCCCAACGGCCAGCACCCCCAATTTCTGACTTGGATGCCCCCAGAAACTACAATGAGAACGGCGCAAGTCTAGATGTTGGAAGGGGAACAGCTGGCCCCATTTTTTGACCACTATCAAAGTCTCCTCGTACGTGCTAGGTCAAAGGGAAACCACCAACCAGTTTCTGACTTTCACCCGAAACAGTCATAAATTGATGACCCCAGAACACAGCCAGCTCCGTACTCTTGAAAAGCCCATTGGAAGGCTCCAGGGGAGCTGAACTCCGGCTCTTTTAAGGAGAACCGGGCAGGTCAATAGATCCGTCTCGTGGCCCACCCGAGCTCTTTTACGGAGAGGCGGCCACGGAACTTGGCCAGGTACCCAGGAAACAAGCCCTCAGCTGCGTCAGCTGGTCCCATTGGAAGGCTAGTGAGCGGCCAGGCACCGTGCAAACCACCTGCCGTACCGCGCTTGCCTCCTCACGCGGCTGCTGGAGCCATTCTTTAAGGCACACCCCGCCGAATGGACAGATTTGACGCTGGGCAACTGGTGTTTCTTTTGAGGGTACCCTTTTTCCTTAGTTGGTGGATGTTGGTGGTGTGGATTGGTGGTTCCTCGTTGGTTCGCAAATTGGTTGCTATTTGTCGGTGGCCTGCACCCACGGTATCGCCAGGAGTGGGCGTCCCTTGGCGTCGGTTTGAACCAACCATAGCCAACCCCAAAAAGGCAGCTTCCTTCCAATTGGTGATTTGGATTGGTGGTTTGGTGGTTAAAGAGGGGTTTCCCATCCACCCTCCACAACAGTTAGGGGTTCCATTTGTTCCAGACTTTTTTGTTGAACATGTCCTTATTTCCCGCTGGTAATGAGCAAGATGAGTTTGAGTATTGAGTCCTCAGGCGTTTCATATCGAGAATCTGGAATGAGGGGACAATCGGCTGCAAAGGCTGACTTGTCTTATCTGAGCAAGGGCTGACTGCGAATCCCGGAGCCATTTGGCGAGCTTGCCAATAGCTTTGTAAGGTGTGGCTATGTTCCGCAAGACTTGCTGTGCAAAGCTTAAAGCACACAGGGTTTACGTGATCTGGCCAGGTTCCTCTCATTGGAATTGTTCGATAGCTCAAGTGCTTCTCTCTGAAAGGGGGTTGGGATGCCAATTGCATGGTTAGGCCAGGCTGAAAAGAGCACCATGCGCGATTACTTGTAAATTCTGTCACGCTCTTCCAGCCCACATCGCCTCATTTGTTGTGCCGTTTGTTCTACCAGTGGGGTTGCCTTTGACCAACGCAACTTTCCCGTGCCTTCAGCAGATCACACACCCCTCTTGGGGACCTCGCGAACACACCACCCTCCCAAACACACACCCTTTGGTAAGACTAAAATAAACTACTGGAGGTGTAACCGGGCCACAATGACGGCGGCAGGCTTTTTCATTAACCCAGAATTGTCATGGCTTGTTTCTTGTTTGCGTGTGTGAACATAGGGGGAGCCCAGAAATTGTAGTTTGCTGCTTGGTGTCCCTTCGAACGAACCCACAAAACTGTACCAACCTGCAAAACATTTCTTTGTTTGGCCTCCTCCTTGGCAAACCAGCGTCTGCCATCGTTTTCGGCGACTTCGAAAGGCCAGCGGCAGAGTGTTGCTTTGCATCTGCATCAGCCCCGAGCGGCGGCACGCTCAGGCAGGAAACTTTGGGCAGGGCTTCTTAGTTCCCATTTTGTTTCGGGGCCCTGTTTGGGGTTGTTGTTAAAGGGGGGCAAAAGGAACACGACTTGCCTATTTTGCCCATAAACGGTGGTTTGTTTTGGGTTGCCAATTCGAAATGCCGAATTAAGCTGATAGAAGAGTCAACACAACTACACACCGCACTTCCGATCGAGTGGATTGGCCACAAAAACGCGCGGACCTTTTGTTTGCCACTAAAATTGTCTTCCCAAAAAGTGGTTAAAGTCGAGGATCTCAGGAAGTGAGACAACCAGTGTCACCAGGTGTCCTTTTGGTTGGAAATAGATGGATTTCCCTGGCAGATGAAACAACAAGCCTTCCGACAGCCATCTATTCTCGACCAACACAATCAAAAGGACACCTATGGGTACCTCATGGGTACCTCATGCGTACCTCATGGATCAGCCCAGTTGCTACGCATTGGCCTGCCTGGCTGCCTAGGTGAAGGGGATACCAAGAAAAGGGTGATGCGTGGCAGGGACGTGTTGCCACCAAGACATTTCGCGCCATCTACCCGTAACTTGGCAGCTGCCCTTGCAAAAACCGGTGACACAGGAGACAGAACAAGACGAGTTGTCATCTGGGGTGCCTCTCAAAGATACACCAGACTTGATATTTGGAAAGTCTTTGGCCATGAATGAAGGCAGACAAGTCATCCGAGCTCGCCATAAGATAGGCGGACATATATGAACCACTCCCCCAAACGACTCGCAATCAACACCCGGTATTAAACAGGTCTGCCCACAAACACGTAATTAGAGAATTTGAATGGACGCCGCACCAGGCGGTTGGACCATCCCTTACCTTCGTCAACAAATGTTGCCCTTGAAACACCCAAGAGGAAACGGAAACCAACTGGAACGCCATGGAATACCAATTTGGATCGGAAGTGAGTTGCACCCAAAGCGAGTCGGCCTTGTACTCCCCTGCATGGACCCCACAAAGGAGGCTCCGATCCTCAATTGGGTGGGTTTTGTTGGGCTCCATGCACCCTGATTTCCACATTTCGTCAGGGTTCCAAAAGGTCGACACCATTGATTTGTAGCTCTGGGCTATTCAGTTTCTGGTTGTTTTGAAAGGGAAACCAAAGGGAAAGCCACCAAGTTGCGGGGTTCCAAGACGACACACCCAACTGGGTTGCCGAATCCCCCCTTAAAAAATGCAATTGGTGGATGGGGGTGACCGCTGGACCACTGGATCTCCATTTTGGGCAATCCATTTTCCTTTTTTTTTTTCTCTGGGGACCACATGAATGGAATTGGGGACCGGGTCCCCACTCCCCCACCCCCCTCCCAGAAGGAAGGGGGGATGTTTCTAGGGGTTGATTCCCCATTCTTTTCAGCCATCCTTCTTTTCAAAAACCGATCGCGCTTTTTTCAGGGATCCAGATCCCTGGAAAGAATGGAAATGGAAGTTACCCCTAGAATGTTGCTTTGGCACCTTTTCTGGCAACTACATCAATGGAATTCGGCCGCCCCCCACAGAAGAGAGGGTGGATGTTGCCGAGAGGAGACCCTGTGCTCCATGGCCTTTGCGGACCGCGCCAGCCGCGCCACGCTGGGGGCGGAGAGTGCCCAGGAGGCGAAGACGTGGCTGCGGGGTCCTTTGAAAGACGACACGTGGCCATGGGCCAAGTTTCCGTACCCCCAGTGAACATCCCAACCCCCGCTAAAATAGGTTCTAAAATGGGTGGTGCACCTACCCCAGAATGGTACCATTGGTTTTGTCCCACAGCCATGTGCATCATGTGTTTGTTGTTTCCTTGTTTCTCATGCATTTTTTCCCCCGCCCGCGATGCCTTTCCAAAGAGGTTTCCGCCACCCAGCGATCGACCCAAGAAGAAGGCCAAGAGAGCCTCCATTCTGAAAAACCACTCACTTGGATTGATCCCTTCTTTTCAGCCATGTTTGTTCAGACGGAGTGCTGGGAATGAGGTTTCAAGTTCCTCCCCTGCAAATTCCGCTGCTTTGCCGGGTGTCGGGCCTTTTTAAACTGTGACTTGTTCAGTGGGCTGCCTCTTCCCTCAGCTGGTTCCCCAAACAGTCCTCATGACCCAACCCAAGAAGCCTTTTTCCCCCAAACAATCCAGCTACGCCGAAGTAGCCAGGATTTTTACCTCCAGCTTCTACATGATTGTATCCCTTAGTTACCTACACAGGGGTATATGGAGTCACTGGGGCAGGAAACCCAGTCTTGTCACCTCGGGGTAGTGGCAAACGCCAGGTTCAACGGGGGCAAGCGCTTGCTGCAGTGCGAGAGCTGCATGTGGTGCTTCGGATGGTGATCAGGCCGGTGCTAGAATGGCACCTTTCTTGGACTTGTCTGTAAATTGGGCACAAAGGGACACCACCCATTTTTGGGTCCCCCAATTTCGTATCTCAATCCCAGATGTGGAAGACCCATATGCCGATGTGTCTTTGTCTAGGGCCTCTGATGTCATGTTACATATTCAGGTTCGCTGAATATGGTCCAGAATCACACGTCCCATTTTCGCGCCAGGGGGCACATGGCTTGGTGGAAGACACACAATGTGTGTGTTTGACCATTGGAATTACCTGTTATGGCAAGAACATGCCCGTCAAACTGCGGCAACCCATACAACACGGCGGCAACACACAGACTGAGGCCCGCTGACAATAGACGATCGATGACGGAACAAAAGATCAACAGACGGAATAAATGATCAAGAGTCCGTGCCCATCAATACATGCAATTTTAGGTGAGAAGGAAGCCCAATGCATTCTAATTCTCGCATTTGGTCGCTTCCTTCATGCCTCTCACCTATATACGTTCTCACATGTCGCCCTTGCAGGGACCTCATGCCGCAGTCTATTGGCATGCGGAACACCACCCGCCTTCCGGACTGGATTGCGGCAGAGGCGGGCGGCCTGCTCAGGGAAAGGGCCTCTCAGCGTCGGAGATGTGCCCAGAGCGCATGCTCTCAGCAGAGTCCCTGAAAGTGGTTGTATGTTGGGGCCTCAGACCACTTTGAGAGGTGGTTTTCCTTTAATCCATCTTCAATCCATCATTCAGAGTTTAGAGGGGGACTTTGAGGATGTCATTTTAAAGGCCCCAGTTCAAGCCACAAAGCAGGCACAAGGCTCGCTTGACAAGGATTTGCACTGAGAAAAACCTGGCTACCCATGGGCAGAGCAAAGGCACAAGGCATCGTGGTCGTTCTTCGCCCGCTTTGAAAGCTTGGGTGATGTCTGTTCCTTGCAAATCCCTCAATTCAGGTTTTGGAACGTATCTATATATATATATACAGATATATGTGTGTGTGTTTGATTTCAGTGTACCCTTTCCATTAATCAGATCACACTTGTGTAAATTGGTTTTATTACATTTTCCAGGCCCATCGATGTTTCCAAAATACCGCCTATGTTTCTACAGGACGCATCTTCCCAGCCAGGTATTGGCCTACATGCCCGAGCATGGGGGCGCCATGTTCGTATGCCGGGCCTGGGCGGAGCTTTGCGTGTGCCTCGGCCTTTTGATTTCAGCGGCTTGTGTCGTTTGAGGCTGCCCTTTGCGGTCCCCAGGCGTCCGGTTCCTTAGGTTCTTAGGTGTTTAGTTGGTTTGTGTGGGTTTCCATTTGACTCACTGAATCTTAAGCTTTTAGCAGGGGATTTGAGGACAGCCCAGTTTCCTCGCTTGCAACCAAGGCGAATCGACCTTTTCTTTATTTGGTTGGAATTCTTAACTTTAACGTTTGGGAAACAGTGGGTTTCCCATTGAACCCACCAAAAAGTTCAGCTTTTCGCAGAGGGGTCAACTGCACCCAAGTTGTTTACTCCCCCGCAAATGTACATGGAACTCACAAAGGAGCCTCCTCAAATGGGTGGGTTTGCGGGGTTTCATGTAAATCTGCCAAGAAACTCACCGTTTGGTTTGCCTGATTTCCATCTTCAGTCAAGGTTCCGAAAGGTGATCGCCTTTGGTTTGTGGGTCCTCTGGGCCGCTGAGTCTCTGGTTGGCTTGAAAGAACCAGACTTGCGGCGCCCCAATTTTACGACACCGAATGAATACAGAAATTGGAAAATCTAAAATGGGCGCAAACGCCTTGCTTCACCATTTGACAGTCCAAGCAGGGAGCAAGGAAAAACAAGGTCAGGTTCTCCGTGCAGCTTTAAACTTGACTTAAACCATGTTTAGCCGCGTCCGTGACAAACAAGCACATGGAAGACCTCTCACTTCGAGCCATCCCCAACGTCCATGTGGGCGTCTGACGCTGGGAACTTGCATCTCATGGCGCCCTTAAGCTCGCTAATTCACTTGCATAGGTGGCCTCAGTTGGTTGTTTTGGTAGAAATAGATGGCCCTGGTTGACCTTGTTGTTTCATAATCTAGCGGGGCCATCTATTTTCTGAAAGGGGACAACTATGCTAAGGCTTAACGCCGAATACACAGATTTTTCACCCAGCATTGTGACTTATCTTAGTTTTGGCCCTTGTGTTAGTTTGGCTTCTCCGTTTCTCCGCTTGTGCTTAGCTTCCTTCTTGCTTGCTAAAGGGTGAGGTCCATCCTGCTCTGACGACTCACCAACGGCAACCCAGTGAAAGCCATGGCACTGTTACCATATTTCTGTGGAAATTCGGTCCCTTTCCGCTGATTGGGAGCCCCAGCTGAGGTTTCTTTTCACTGGTCACAAAGCACCATGCAGAATAATGAGGCGTCACATCCACTTTCATCGTCCTCGGCTATCAATGTAAGTTTGTGCATCGCGCCCGGTTGGGAGACTCAGGACTGTTTGTTGCGCCTTTCTAGCTGCTGTGTAGCTTCACGCTGGGTGTTGTTAGTTTGAGGGTACCCCTTTTCCGGTTGGTTTACAGTGTAAAGGGAAGCCACCAGGATGGGGCATACCCAAATCTGGGACTGACATGGGTCGCATCCTTGGGTTTCCCTGAACCGTATGGATTCGCTCCCGGCACTGTGCAACAAGGCGTTCAGTACCCTGAAGTGTGTTAGGGTTTGGTCAGGACATGTCATCAAGTACCCCTATATTTGATGGTTTGGATTGGTGTTTTGAGGGGGCTGAACTCCAGTTCCTGTTGAAATTAAATGGGAAATGAGGGTGAGGTGATGTCAGGGCATACATGTTCAACCTTGCCGAATGATATGTGAAGCCTTCCGGGCGGCGTGGCTGATGCGTTTGTTGGATACTCCGAGCCTGGCAGGATGTGGGTATGGATCAAAATTAAGCCACACCAGGGGACCGCAGGTTTTAGTCCAGGTTTCCACCTTGGAAGTAAGTATTATATTAGCTATTTCGTAGAAAAACAGCTATTGATTTGATCATCAAAGTATGTGAAGGATTGTCCTATGAAGTCTCTCTAAATTTTCTGGCTGTAGAATTGATTGCCCTTTCAGAAGATAACTCCAAGGAAGTGCGAACCAAAGCAATCGAGGCTATCACGACCAGGGCAACCCATTTTGGGCACACAGTGTCCGACCCACGGCCATGTGGCTCGGACGGAGCGCCCCATTTTTTGTTCTTTTCCGCGCCGCCTCGCCAGCGCGCCAGGAACCACAAGTGGTGGGGCCGGGAGTTCCGTCGATCCCCAAAGCTGGCCACCAGCGCGGCCGCCTCGGCTTTGGGTGGGCCCAGTTTTCGGGGGAGCCACTCAACGGGCTCCAAAAACGGGTTCTGCTCGCTTGCGGAATGATTTAGGGTCACCCAACCCTGTGGCCATTGAGCCCACCAGCTGCACATGACTTGATCTGTTCTAGAGCCAGTAGATACAGGTGTCATCAGAAGCCCATGTCAGCCACATGGAGACCTTGATTCATGTCCAACTGTTGAAGTAAGGTCCTTGCTGAAATTCAGGGAAGCTTCTGTGGGAAGAGTACCCCTCTATGAGAGAGAAACCTTGTTTTTTGTCCGGGCAACCAACAGAAAAAAACCTTCTTGTGGCTACATGTCCTTGGGAGCTGCGTTTCTTTCATCGGTGAGCCCATTCTTGGCTGGTGTTTTCAAGGGGAAACCAACTGGAACTTTCGCAATTGCTGGTTTTCCCGGGAAGTCCACCGGAAGATCTGCATTTGTTGCTCGTTTTGCCGGGAATTGCACGCGGAAAACCGCGGGCATTTTGGGGGTCCAAGACCCCGAATCGCAGGTCTTGAAGTTCCTGGGCTCCACCATGGAGGCCGCCGGGGTCTGCAAGACCTGGTGGCAAGCCAGTGGCTGCTACCGCGTGGCTTCTCAGTCGGTTTGCCCTAGCGCAGCCTTCTCAAAGTGCGGGGCCAAAGAAGAAAAGATGGGCCCAGATGTGGTTTAGGTTGTGAAGCGCTGGTTTTCAATGTGATTTCAGGTTATGTCCAGGTTGTGGAACAGAATGAGAACATAATTAGTCAAGTTTGACTGGTCATTCGAGGGGAAGCCAACAAAGTGAGCGATTTTTGCAGCCCAAAGGCAAGAGGGTTGCCTTCTGAAAAGGATAGGATGTGTTTTTTTTGTTGGCAGCCTTCTGGTGGATGTCGTTGGGGATCTCCGTGACGTATGTAAAATTCACAGCCGCCAGTTTGGCTGCTGGTCCTGAAACGGCGAAAGCCACGCACCTCGCCAGCCAGACTCTTGAACATTTTTTTAGCTGCCCTTTGGCGAAGTGAGTCCATACGTTTCCTTCTGTTTCTTTGCGTGTGCGGAATTTTAAAAAGGCTACCTGCAAAAACCACCCACACACAGATGCACACTCATCTTGCCAATGCCGCTGGCGATGATTCATGAGCATCTTGCTTTGAATTCCAGCACGCCGCCCATGCGCGAAGTACTTTGGACGCTAGGCGGTCCGTGCGTCGCTGAGGCGTGACCATGGACGCCGGTGCGGTGAAGGTCATGGAGGCTTCGCTCCGGTGACGGGGGACGTGTTTTCGCGCCGTTTGGGGAGGTCAGAGAGAACTTCGGTTCGGAGTACTCCGGAGAACCGCACTCACCAGAGACCCCCCCCACCCAACATGCATGCATGCCCTCACTCAAAGGGATCCCTGACGAGTAATGTTGACCCCAGATTAATAAACCCCGGGGTGTTCCCGTCCAAAAGTGATAAATCCCCACTAAAACCAGGGACACCCCCATATTAATCAACAGGGGTTGATTAATCCGGGGTTAACATTGTTGCCTCCAGAATCAGAAGTTGACATTAACATATGGGGGAAATATTCCCCCCCCCGGGCCGGTGGGGGGGAGAGGGCACCCCAAAGCATGTCGTGTTTGTTGGTTTCTCTTGGGAGTACATTTGTTGGTTTGTTTGTTGAATTGTTTCTCTTTGGTTTGTTTGTTGGTTTCTCTTGTGAACATGCGTTTAGCTCGGCGCACGGCTTTTTGGCAATTCCCGGGCACAACATTTCACATCCCAAGCCGCAAGTTCCATCTAGCGGTCCGTTGTGCATCCCGATGTTCGATCGGCTTCTTGGTGCCACGCCTCGAGAGATTGAGGCGGAGCGGTTTGCTTTTATGTAATTCTATTGGATTCTCTTCTGTTTTTTTGGGGGGGGGAGGAAGTTCGATTTTTTTTTCTGTGACAGCTTTGGGGGGGGGAGGAAGTCCTTTTTTTGTTACCGCTTTGGGGGGGGGGAGGGAGGAAGTTCGATTATTTTTCTGTTACGGCTTTTGGGGGGGGGGGGGGAGGAAGTTGTTTTTTTTTTTTTGTTACGGCTTTTTTTTGGTGGGGTGCTGGGGAGGTCCGATTTTTTTTTTATTTTACGGCTTTTGGGGTGCTGGGGAGGTCCGATTTTTTCTGTTACGGCTTTTGGGGGGGGGGAAGTTGATTTTTTTTCGGTTGCGGCTCTTGCCACAAATCTGGGCATTGTGAGAATCACTCACAGTGACTCGCTGGCTGAATTGGTGATGATGACTCCTTGACCTCGGCAGGCTAGAGATCACTTCCGGAAAGGGCTCAAGGTTGGCCATGCACTGCTTTTGGTTTTCTAAAGGGTTTCTTTTTGGGATACACGTAAGGAGAAACCAAAAAGGAACGCTCTGTTTGTTTGTTTGTTTGTTTGTTTGTTTTTGTTGTTGCGTGTATTTTTTTTTTGGGGGGGGGTACCCTATTTTGACACACACCCACATCCTAAAGGATGAACCCGCAAGGGTAGAAGTTCGGCGAATGACCCAAACTGGGTCTCCTCCAACACTATTCTAATTACACTTCACGGTGGACGAAATGATTGAATAGAGGCAGAAAGTCGTAGTTGAGGTGTGCCCCGGATGAAAGAATGTAAATCGGCATATGTTTTGTTTTTTGTTTTTCAAGTTGGTCGCTGAATTCCCTCAAAAAAGCTCGCGATCCTGCAGGCAACAGCCCGGAAAGTCTGGTCAGCTGCCTCGGCCAAGACGCGCCAGGGGCCCTAGGCCATGGTCTCCCGGACAGGTCCAAAAGGTGTGTGGGGGGGGGGTTCCTGAGGCTCTTGAAGGATTTCTACGGAACCCTAAGGAACGCTAAGGAACCCTAGGGCTCTCTCAACTGCCCACCCCACTTGTACCCACCTTTGGGATACCGTAAGTCCGCAGGGGGCTTCTGAATCCAAATCAAAGCACGGCGCGTGGCGGGGAAACCCAGCGGGGCTCAGACGTGACTTGCGCCAAGGTGCGGATATGTGGAAGGCCGGGGGCCGAGGATTGCTTGACGCTTGACCGCTTGCAATGCCGCATCATGTTCCCAGGGCTTGGAAACTGCGGAAGCCAAGGGCGGTCTGAACAAGGGGCATGTACTTCCACCCTTAGACTCCAGGGTGTTTCTTGATGTTTGCGAGCAGCGCTTCCTGTCCTTGCCATGCCCGTTCATGGAGTTGTGGCCCCGTTTCTGTGGGGTGTTTTGCGTGTTGAGGGAATACCCTATACGGCCATTGTCTTAAGAGGCAAGTGTGCCTTCCTGCTCCCGTTGCTGCATGCCATTTCATGGGCTACATGCCTACTTAAAGCCTCCAAATTGTCGCCGAGGGGACGTAGCAACCCTTCCAGACGTCGTGTTCGGATTTTTTGTTTAGATAAATATAAAAAATCAGGAGTCTAAAGCCGGGATGGCTTTTTTTTGAACCCATGTCTCAAACCAAAGCGCAAACTCCCCCAGCCCATGGCCACTCGTCCCAGACGACAGGCCTTCCTGGCCGCGGGGGGCGGCAGTGACATGGGGTCCCAACCCTTGGCTTTGGTGCGGGAGCGCCGGGCCCAAGTCTGGTGGGGCGGGTGTGGGTGGGTGGTGGGGTGGGGTGGGGTGGGTGTAGGGGGTTATGAATTTTAGATAGTTTATTATTAGTAATGTGTGTTTTTTTGTTTATAAATATATATATATATTATATTAATATAAAATTATTTGGGTTGGTTGGGGGGTGGTGGGGTGGGCGGGGTGGGTGTGGGTGGGGGGGGTTGGGGTGGGGTGGCCCTCCCGGCAAACATGGCGGCTCCCAAAATTTCGACTGATTTACCAAAGGGGTCGGTGGCTCGGTAGCGCTGGTGTTTTTTTGTTGGTGCAAAGAGTTGGTGTGTTGTTTGTTGGTGCAAGCTCGTTTGATGTCTCCAAGCTGGCTCCGTGCTGTTTGATGTCTTTCTCGGTGCTGTCGGCACACTGGCGTCGAGGCGAGGCAGCCAGTCCTGGCCGACGCGCACTGTTTTTGCGGGAAGACCATGTTGGTTGCCCCAAAGTCACCTGGACATTGGCCAGTCTCAGGAAGTGAGCCAGTTGCTCCATGGGATTCCAGACGTGCAAGGGAGCGCTGGGGAGCGCTGGGTCCTTGGGCATGAAACAGCCAGTTCAACCCAGGGTTGTGGGATCACTTCTGTGACACGTTTGGGATTCTCCCCCTTTATATGGGGGGTCAGTCTTTGTGATGCAAGGGAATCTCCCCCTTTATATCGGGGGAACATGTACTGCTTCCCACCCTCAGGTGCGTTATTGCCGGCGCGCCCAAACCCGAGGCGAGCGGGTTGTGACCCTAGGATCTCTTTTGCAGGTATGCATTTGCAGGTTCACTATGGAGCAGAATGAACGATGGGTGTGTCTTTCTTTTATGGCACTTTGCTTTCTGATTTTAAACCTACAGGACAACCACCATTTTGGTTGTCCCCCCAAAAGTGACAGATCCATCGAGGGCTTTCTTTGCACAATTTTCAGCTGGCTGTTGATAGGCATGTCTGGCGGGACTTGGGGAAGCTTCACGGCGCGTTCATCTTTGGCCTTCTTTCACCTTGATCTAGTGGATGGTTTGGATTTGTGGGGACTGGGGATTTGGACCTCTGGTTTTGTTGGAACCGAAGTGGAAGGCACCCCATGGCACCTCCAAACAACCAAAGCAAACAACCCCTGAAGGGAAAGCTGATTCTTTGTGGATTCCCTGAGGAATATTCCAGAAGGTGCATTGCGCGAAATCCTGCGACATCTTGTCATTAAAAAAAAAAAAACTATATTGTTGTGGCCGGAAGGGCCCGCATGAGATACATTTGGGGCCTGAACTTGCACAGTCACCTTGGCACTAGGAGTGCGATGGTTGCAGCTGTTTCTGGACACAGTTTCACAAAGCCCTTCATCATTGGCTTTTTGAGTTTTGTTTAGTTAGGCCTTTCTGAAGTGCGAATCCTTTTGCAGAGATGTTGAAAGGGATTTTTGTAGGGAACCCTCCGCACCGAATTTTGCACGGCTGCTTGGCAATCCATTGGCCACTTCGCCTCCGCAGCTCTTGGACAGGCTCAGTTAGGTGATGCTAGTTTGGCCGAGCTGGTCTCAATACAGGCGTTCAGAATGACCAATCCCGAGACAAATGTGAACAACAACTCGGAGAACGAAGGAGCCTTGGCCGCCTCAAGCGTTGCAGAGGGAACATCTTCCGGGGATCCTTGTCACTCATGGATCAAAGCCCGTTCCACGCACAGGTTTGGGACCAATCCCAGCTATCCAACTCGACATAAAGTGGTTGAATGTGCCCTGGGGTTTACTTGTTTTGGTTGGGGTGTGCTTTTTTAGCGGGTGCCCTTTAGCCACCTGCGGTGGGGAAACCAAAAGAAAGTCGGAACCAATGGGCAGTTTTTTTACGAGTGACGATTGTTGGAAGGCGATGGGAAACACAAAGACGAAGCCAATGGGTCCAAATCCCCACATCCATGTGGCCTACTGTTCTAGGGGTACCTTCCACATTCTTTCCAGGGACCCTTCTTGTCAGGAAACCATCTTAAAATCCCAGAACAAAACACGGAGCCGGTGTTTGAAAAGAACGATGGTTGCAAAGAATGGACAAGGAATCAACCCCTAGAACTGCCGTAGAACGGGTCTAAGGAAACGCCCAGGGCGCCTACCAGAGCCCGGGGGCCCTGGGGGCTGGCGGAGGGATCTGGATCCGTTTGGGGGGACCCCGCCGAGGTCCCCCAGCCCTTTTTTGGGTTGGGAGGGTTCCCGAACGAAGGCAGAAAACGGAGAAAAAAGCTGGCGCCCTTATTGTAACCTCTCTACTGGAGGACCTAGCCGCGTTGGGTTTTTGAGTTGATTTTTGCGGGGGAGTACACTCCCTTAGGCTAACGTGGAAGCTCCCAGAAGGGTTCTGTAGATGGAGCCAAGTCTTCCAAAGGGGTGCTGGGAGCTTTTATGTGGGTTTGGGGGATGCCACAGGTCCAAGGAGGCCTTTACAGTTGGAGGGGTAGCTGGCTGCTTGCGCGTTCTCGGTCGAACTCTGGCTCAGCTGCCTACGGTTGGCTCGCATGGATTCTTCCCTCCAAAATCTCGTGCGGCCCTCCCCCCCAACACGAGAGGTAGGAAAAACGGCAGCTTGCCCGAGAGGTTTTCTTTCGTACAGACCAATTTGACTCTCAGCGAGTGGGATGTTTGGAATCGACCAAGACGGGGCAGGGAAGCTAGTAGTTGGGAGCGACTT